AAGTGTCTCTCCAGTCTGGTCCAGTCTGGTCCAGTCCAGTCCAGTTTCTGCTTTGTAGGTACCCACAAGCAGCGAGCGGGCGAGGATTTCCGAGCGGCAGAGAGGCAGAGGCAGTGACGGAGGTGGAGCAGGTCACTTGTTGCCAGCTGCGGCGTGTGTGTATGTCGGTTTGTGCGAGTTGAGAGTAGCGCTGCGCTGTAAGAGAGAGAGAGAGAGAAGCCAGACGAGAGTTGCTGTTGCTGTTCTACTAACTTAGTGGCTTCCTACACCGGTACTAGACAGAGTTGGAGCACCGAGAAATGCCTCGAGCCATTTGATGGATCTGAAGTCCAGGTCAGTCAGTAGCGTGGAGGACGAAGCAGCAACAATCCGATCAATATCCAGTTCTACGAGTACCTCATGCTTTTGCGGTTGGCGGCCGCTGCTCGCTCGGCGCTGGCGCCTTGGCCAGGTATTGATACGAGTGCCGTCACTTGATCGTCCGTGAACCTTGTGCTCCGAGCTGCCGGTAAGTATCTGATGTACGAGTATTGCATTGGGATTACATTAACATTACACACGACACGCAGGTAGGTATGTATTGGTATTGCTCGAGGTGGACGGGCGCCAACATGTGCGGACGCAGACGCAGATGCAGATGCAGATTACACTGAGATGACAACCCGAGTATTCGTAACCACCAGGGCCAAGCCAAGCTCACGGAGTACGCGGGAGGGCGGCGTTTGGTACTGCCTACTCGTCGGCGTCATACTGCCGCGCTGCCTCGGCCAAGTAGGGGGTACATGCGCAGTGCATAACGCACCACCGCCATGATGCATCATGTTGCTCTCGCTCTTTGGCCTGCAGCGAGGGCCAGACGCACGCCTCAGGGGGGGTGTGTGGGAAGGGCCCTGCAAAGCCGCGCCCGATGCTGGGACTGGGAAAAAACAAAACAAAAAAACGCCAGCGAGCGGGTACAGATGCAGATGCAGATGCAGCAGGCAGTCATGCCTGGCTGCTAGCCCGTTTCCCTCCATGCTAGCCAGGTAGTATTTAGACAGACCCGGAGCACCACCAAGATGGCCACTGACTGCCCTGACTGCAACCGCCAACCGCCGCTAACACTCAGCGCCCCCAGCGCTTGACTTAGTACACACTCGACTTCTATATCTCCCCGCTCACACCCACCCGACCTCCTACTCCTACTCCTACTCTTTTCCCTCCTCCCTCACGATCTTCTCGTCCGCCCTTCTCTTCTCTCTACCTGGGATTCGGCCGCTCAGCAGGTGATTCAGTCAGCTTGCCAACCTTGCGCCACTCCCTGCTCGGCACCGTCTCCTGGTTTTTTTCCTTTTCACCTTTTGCCCTGCCTGTTATTGTGTGTGTGTGTCCTCGTCCTCCTTTGTTGCTTCGCTTTCCCCCCCCTGCTATTCGCCGCCACCATCCATTGCCGCTTCGTCCTTTCAAGATAAAGAAGCAAAGCCTCTCGGGCGCTTCGACGACGTCTCATCTTGTACAGCTCTGCGACCTATAAGAGCCGTCTGCACTCGAGTTTTCTTACAACACCAACGCCGCATCGCATCAGTCTTCCCCTCATACGCCAATATGCCGGTTCAACTTCTGCCAGCGTCCGCCGCTGCCTTTGCCCCGAGGGCTTCCTCCGTCAACGTCGTCTTGGGCTCCAGGATCGAGCCGTGGCTTACACAGACGCTCAAGCGCATCAATCGGGTGAAGCGACCCCTCAACAGTGTACCTCAGCACCAGCGATGCCTCACCGAGACGCTGTCATCACAAAACGCCATCTGGACCCTCGCCTCATTAATGTTTCCCAAGCTGCCCCAAGCCGAGATGCCCGAGGACCCCATGGAGAACCTCTTCAGCCACCAGCTCATCCACATCGAGGCCTACATCGTCCACGTCGACATGGTCCTGCGCAACGAGGTCGCCTACAAGCTCACCGTCGAGACCATTGACGCCCTTGTCGAGTATCACAAGGAGATACACTGCGTCGACGCAAAGGCCAACACCTACGACTGGTCCGAGAAGGAGCAGCAGTGCAAGAAGCTGCACGAGGACTTTGTGCAGGCCATCAACAAGTTCGTCTTCCGCACACATGTCTCTGCCCTCGAGGGTCTCGAGGAGGAGGGTGCTGGCGAGCTGCTCAACGGAAAGAGCGAGGAGGTCAAGGCGAACCTCATGAACCTCATGAAGCCGCTTCTGCCTCCCCCGCCAAGGGTTGTCGAGGTCATTCGACAGCCGCCTCTGTTGCCCAGCTCCCCCATCGCCAACATGTGGACACAGGCTCCCCTTCACATCATCCCCGCTGCTGTTGAGCCCTGGCAGGTGCTGCCTTCAAGTCCCAGCGTGACTTCATCCGTCGACTCGAGCAACACTCCTCTCTGGGCCAACATGGGCATGAACGATGTCCAGCTGCCTTCTCCTACTCCTTCGTTTAGCCTCCCGCAGTCTACTGCCGAGCTCTTCTACAGCCCGCCAATCATGGCACCCATTCCAGCTCTCCCACTGCCGAGTATGTATGCTCCCTCGCAGTGTGGTGTAAGTTTGGGCATGGGCGTCGGTGGCTTTGGCGGCTGGGATCGCTACCAGGAGTATGCCACGATAATGTGAGGTTGCAGTCCCGCGACCGACAATCGACTTCTTAATAATGTCCCGCCAACCAGCTCGCGGTTACGGGGCCCCTTTTTTCTCAGAGACCAAAAAAAAGCACTCGAGTCATTATCTTCTCAGCGGCATAGACAATCATGTCAGGGCATATAGGCGTTTTGTTGCATCAGGAACGGAGTTCGAATACCTCAACCAAATATTCTTTCTAGGAAATACCCCTAATCATTTCCTCTTTTCTTCTTTTCTTTTTCTTCTTTTCCTTGATTCCCTTTTTTTTCTTTTTCGTTTTTGCTATCGGCGACACAGCAAGCGTGTACAATGGTTTCGAATCTACTTCCTCGTCGAAAGTCCAGGAATCATCATCATCCGTCGCGTCATAGCCGCTAGCTCGGCATTTTCTTTTGGGCTTTTGTTTTTTTCTTAACATTATACCACCAACATGGCTGGATCCGAGGCGGACAATCTGGATGCGTTTTCAACCGGGCGGGGACTCTTTTCTTCGGCACAGACGCCAGCGGCTTGCGACATTCTCTTCTACTTTTCCTTGTTCTTGTTTTCTGGTACCATTGGGTTAAAGATAAGAGGCTACTGCAGCAATGCACAACAATCGGCTCGGCCCGAAACCTCCATTGGATTTGATTCCTACACTTTCTTTTCTCGTCCGCTTCTTTACTTGCCGCGAGGCAGCAAAGAAGCAGATTTTTCTTTTTTTCCTTTGGAAGATCTCCCTCTCGGATGCGTTGCCTGAGATTCATTTCTTAGGCCGCTCTTTAGGTGTCTTTCCTTATCCTGTCTTGCGTAATGATGCTTCACGAAACATTTGACGACGACATGAATGAGTTACGAATAACCTCACGAGTATGCGATACGATAATTGAATACATGGAAAGCTTAAGTTCTTCGGCTAGATGCTGAGATTGGACACTTTCTCTTCGGATCAAGTACTCATATTACGCAAGCGGTTTCATTCGGCTCAACGATCTGTTCCCAACATTGTCTGACTGAACTTGAACTGGATTTCAAATCCGTCAGCAACATTTCTTGGGACAACGTCAAACCAACTATTACGCATCACGATCATGACGCTCAAATATCTGGAATATTTTGGCACATGCGGACACTGGTTGTTGACAGGGGTGTACACGTCCGCGGGCAAGTCCGCGCGGGCTGTTGATGACTGGAAAGACGATGATAGGGTGGGCTTCATACCTTGTCTCTGCTGTGCAGCGATGAGTGTATGGCCTCTTCCAATCCACCGTTTTGCTACGATATTTCCCAGCCAAGACTACTACTATTGACCTTTCTACCTCACATGTTCACACGGGTGCCAATACAACACGCCGAGGGGCACAGCCAAATAGGACATGTTCATTCGGTCTCTTTACCCGGAATGAAGTCCTAGAGGCTGGCCCGAGGCGAAGAGTTGTACGCCCTTTTTGGTCAATTCAACAAAGGCTTGTTGAGGTGGCCTGGGGAATATCAAGGCAAACATTTTTGTAGCTCATCTCTCTACGACCCCGCCTCCGCTTCGAGTTTGCTGTCTCGGCCAGACCGGATCTGGCTGAGAGAGTCTCGAAGCTGTTGTGGTGCAATGTCAGGTGAGTGAGCCGAGGCTGTTAGCAAAGCTGTGCTCTTGTTAACACGCCTGCTCACTCCTGGGTTCTCCCGCTGGGAACGGGAGGGCGCTTGGGATTGCTTTAAGAGATGCTGGATAAACTCAAGTGTGCGAGAGAAAAAAATTATGAAAAAGGACAAAATCACTTAAAAAAATATTAGGCAGTAAACAGATGAGGACAAAATCGCCTCTTCGCCCTGGTGGTGGAGATGGCTTCGCACGCAATTGTAGCGCACTGCTTGGAAAAGGGTCCCTGCTCGTTCTCTTGTCGTTGGCAGTACTACTAGGTAGTTAATTTAAACTTGAAAAAAATTTCGGGTGGCATCGCCTCTCTTTCTTGTCCGTACAGTGATGTGATATCAAACCTCCTTGTATCATTCCCTGGCGTTTCCGTATATATACAAAGGCGTAGTGCTCGATCGGTCATAGCAGACGCTTATGATGAATGATGTATTTCTGTAAACTACCAAGTCATTATCGTTGCATATTTGGAGATAAACGTCCATGAAAGTCACATTGCTCGATGTGCACCAAGATATTCGCAGACATGTGTATACTCACTCACTCAGTCTCTACATCTGAATCTTTGCAAATCAGTTTTCAACTCGCGTTTTTCTCGATCTCGATTTATGCTTAATTTATACGTATAAACACAAACACATGTTTCAATTCCCATTTCAATTGCATTTTGTAATCTTGAATAAAAAAAATCCATGTCTTGTTCATTTCTTGACGGCTAAATAGTTCAACTTTATTATTATTTTTACCAGGCATATTCCGCTTATTTGACAAGTTTCTCCGTCTGCTCCTTAATGGAGCTGCCCAAATCAGCATCCACCTTTGAGAACATCTCGTAGGTTCTGGTACGAGTGTCTTGGTGAGCGGCGGCGAGATGACCGGAAACGTTTGAGATAAAGTTCTCCTGCTGGCCAGGCGTACGGCCGAGCACATCCCAGAGACCCTTTGCTTGCACGAAATCATCATCGTTGACTTCCTGGAAGAGCTCATGGACGGCAGCGCCGGACCACGACTCATGAGTGACGGAAGGCTTGACGGCCTTGTAAGTCAACTGTCTGTAAGAGCTAGGATAGTTAGGATTGGCACCATAGTTGCCATTGATGGCCATGGCGCCATCACGCTGGAAGGGGTTAAATGCCTTGAGGGGCGCATTGACAGGAATCTGCTGATAATTGGTACCCAGACGGTGACGATGGGTGTCGGGGTAGGAGAACAGTCGAGATTGCAACACAGGGTCGATGGAAGGCTCAACACCGGGCACCAAATGAGAGGGAGAGAAGGCAACCTGCTCGATCTCGGCGAAGTAGTTTTCGGGGTTTTTGTTGAGAGTAAGTTTGCCAAACGGTCTCAGGGGTACGTCCTTCTGAGGCCAAACCTTGGTCAAATCGAAAATGTTCCACTTGAACTTCTCGGCTTCCTCAGGGGTGAGAACCTGGACATAGACGGTCCAGCTGGGATACTCTCCCTTCTGAATAGACTCAAAGAGATCTTGAGTATTCCAGTCTGGGTTCTCGGCAGACATCTTGGCAGCCTCTTCACCAGTAAACGTCTTGATGCCCTGATCAGTCTTGAGGTGGACCTGAGTATAAACAAAAGACCCATCAGGCTTAGTCCACTTGTGGGTGTGACCTGAGTATCCGTTCATGTGCCTGTATGAGTAGGGAGTGCCTCGGTCGGAGAACAGGGTCATGACCTGATGGATAGCCTCTTGGTGGGTAGAGAGGTAATCCCAGAACATGGTAGCATCTTTGAGGTTTGTTTGTGGATTTCGCTTCTGGGTATGGATGAAGAGTGGGAACTTGGTAGGATCACGGATGAAGAAGACGGGGGTGTTGTTGTATACCCAGTCCCAGTTGCCCTCCTCTGTGTAAAACTTCAAGGCAAAGCCACGGGGATCACGAGCAGTGTCGGCTGAGCCCTTTTCGCCGCCAACGGTTGAGAAGCGGACAACGCAGTTGGTTTTCTTGCCAACAGTGTCGAACATGTTGATGGACGAGAGGTCGCTGGTGTCATGGGTGACCTCAAACACGCCATATGCGCCAGCACCCTTTGCATGGACGACACGTTCGGGAATACGCTCGCCTAGATATACAACATTAGTTGTGTCATGACTTGGAGATGAGTCGGGGTAGAGGCCAAGATCGAGTATGAAGGTTTCGGTAAAGAGGCGAAGAAGACATAGGAGCACGTACGGTCAAAGTGGGCGAGGGTATCGATCAAGTGAAAGTCCTGGAGCAGCAGGGGCCCAATGGTACCGGGCCGCTGCCAGCCCTCAGGGTTCTCAATGGGGGCGCCATTGGAGGTGGTGTACACTGGCTTCTCGTTGTACCTGAAGGTGGAAGCCGGCGTGTCGTTGGCACCCATTCTGGCGGTTGGATATCTCGGACCGGGTACTGAGGCGTGAAGGGTTAGCTAGCTGATCAATGGATGGTAGATGATTGATATGGCCTGTGAGAGGAAGCCTACCTACCTGCGTATCAGATGGATATGGGAGCAGAGCTCACGTGGTCAAGGTATGATATACGAGGGAAGATGAAAAGTAGAGGCACGGGGCAAGACAGGAGCTGAGGAGGGGTCGGACGAGACTGCCTCTTTATAGCTGGGCGGCGGTCGAGGAGAAGGTACGAGCGTAGTGGTGGGGTGACTGAGCCCGATGTAAGACGAGGCAAGTGCAGGAGAAGCGAATTCATGCGTCAATGGCCAGACAAAGCTTCCTGTGTGGTTGAGATGGCGGGAGCGTACATGGACCCTCCCTCCTTCCCCTCCTCCCTCCTGCCTCCAGCCTCAGCGAGTTGTTTGTGCTTGCCCTACATGATTAACATGGCCGTCATTGCCTGGACCCAGCAACTAGGCGCCTAGATTGGCAACTGCCAGCGAAGTAGCAACTACCAGAGCTATTTGCTGCTGTTTGCTGCTACCATTGTGCCCGGCCCTTGTAAGGAAATTGCGTGCCTGACCTGGAACTAGCATTTTCCACCCCTTGCCCAATTCATGGCCTCCCAAAATTACATACGTCAGTGCCTGCCCATCGCGGGGCAATGGATAACAAGCGTTGCAGGTACCCAATCCTGCTAACACACGCATACGAGGTCCATGTTTGCGGTGGAAGCAAGAGCCGGCTCCATCCTTCCCCGCTGGGATTGCCCGAAGTGGGCCGCTCCCTAGCCAATAACAGGGCCCCGAAAAGAAAGCCGGAGCGGTTCACTTGCCCCGGAGCGGAGCACGGGCTTCTGGAGCTGTGCGAACCAGCTGAACCTCTCAAGGTCCTCTCATGGCCAGACACGGCGTCGCTAACTCTGTTGTGCCCTGTCCCGTCAAGAGAGGCTGCGCCGATATCAAATTCCACTTCCCTGCTTTCACCCAGCAATTCATCCTTTAGCCTTGGAAGGCCGTATTAAATGTTGACAGCTCAATGTCTTAATGTCTCTGACGTCTGGTGCCACTATCAACAGCACCCTTCGCTCTCTTGGTTCTGCTCTTGACCCCCGTTTCGAATTCAACCACCCCAAGCTACATCGCCTGACTTATCATACACAACACTTACTCGTACCTTGTTGATTCGTGAGTCAAAATGATGATGTCGTCTGTTGTCACAGCCTCTGAAGCGGGGGTTCGCCCTTTTCCCCTTCCGCAAGTGCCGCAAGTGCCGCCTGCTATCACCCCATTCTTCTTCCATCTTGGGTATTTCAAACCGAGTCCTCGTGCAGCAGATGGTGGGCACTAACAATGGAACAAATGGCTTCACTCAGCCGGGATGAGGTGATGGCGCGCCTCGCGTCGGTGTCCGAGGGTTCTGGACGCGTGGTCACCTGCCCTGTCATTCTCTTAGTGCCTAGGTTGTTACTAACTAGTAATCACAATGCCTTGACGGAATTGTTCTAGTTGCTGACTTGATTTAAGGTACGCTATTTAAGATGATACTCGCTGCATCTAACAAACGACTACGAACCCGGATTTAAAATACCCGGATGGACTGATATCTTGTTACTTGAGTTTTACACTAAACGACTCTCATGCCCGTCTAATTACCAACAGTCGTCCAAAAGGAACACCGACAGACAAATGTCCTTTCTATCACCCAATGAGCTACCGACGGTTTTTCTAGGTCAACTGCCGTTATAAAGTAAGCAATGGCGAAATCCCTCTCTATTCCTGTGCCAATCTAATTTACACAATGGCCTGTGTGACACCAAAATCTCATCTGCCGCCAATTTGTGTGAAAACTAGACTTGCCATCTCCGCTCCACCCCACGTAGTCCGAGGTCCGAATACCCTTGTTTTATACACAATCATATCGTATTGAGAACCTCTTTACCGGCATTCCAGGTGTCCACTTCTTTGTACTCTCTTCACACCCTCTTTTTCATGCGTCTCAAATACTTCTTCTTCCGGTCGGATCCGTTGAAGATGGCCGTCGTAATCCGAGAGGGCTATTGATAATGCAATGTGGGTTCTCAAGGCATATGACTTGCGCCTCAGTGAGGAACTGCCGCATTGCTAGCCATTTACAGGTACTCCTGGATGCCCCGGCTCAGATTTGCTCAGATTTGACATGCCCATCTACACGATGCGGGTCTGTAAATGAGGCTGATGTGGCGTGCCGCGTGGCAGCGCTGCTGTCGATACGAGACTACGAGCGATTTGATGGCCAAACTCGGGGTTCAAAGACCGAGACCAATGTTGAGAATCGAAGCAGGATACTGGTACAGGTATCCCAAGTCTAAAATTAAATGATAGTACTGTTCATATTGCCACCGTCCGTATGAAATTCTTCTCCCAAACCTATCGTCAATCCATTAGATAGGTAAGTATGCCGTTCATTGCACATCCCTCTCCTCCCTGACCCAGGCGTATCGTTGTCCTCTCAGATACAACGAAACCCGACCGTCATTGCCATCGTCTTATCGTTTGTTGTACAAGATTGCGTTTTGACACTGAAAGGAAAGACTCATTGAATCCCCCTTTCTTGATTTTTATAAGGTTTTTGTTTCTAGTTGTCTTGGTTGACGGTTTGCTATAGCAGACATTTGTTGTTAGCGTTTTCGGTATTCTCCCCCCGAGATGCGTCGATCGCCAGGAACATAAACTTACCACCAGCCAATCCATGCCCTCGTTCACACCACTGCCGTCGACTGCCGAACAGGCCATGATGCTCCAATTTCGGTCCCGCAGTTCGCCCAGCTGCAGCGCTTCCGAGATCTCTCCCGCTCCCTTGGCGCCGGGTTGGTCCTGTTTGTTGGCAAACACCAGCAGAGCCGCATCTTTGAGCTCTTCCTCGTTTAGCATGGCCGATAGCTCCTCTGCCGCGGTTTGTAATCGGTCGATATCGGTCGAGTCGACGACGAAAATAACAGCAGCAGTGTTGGCATAGTAACACCGCCAGTAGGGCCTGATGCTTGTCTGACCACCCAAATCCTGGAAACTGGCTGTTAGCAAGATGCCGACTTTCCACTTTCCCACGCGTTTTCCATTGATATTATCCATACCCAAACATTAAAATTGAGGTTCTTGTACGTGACTGATTCCACGTTGAATCCGATCGTCGGTATCGTCGTGACGACTTCTCCGATCTAATCCCCTCTAAGTCAGCACGTGGTCAAGATCATAGCAGCTATTGGGGACATACCTTCAGTCTGTATAAGAGCGTTGTTTTACCAGCATTGTCCTGTTGAAACCAGCGCATTAGCATCCCGGCATCAAACCCCAAGATAGCCGCACGACGTCATACCAAGCCCAAGATTAGAATCCTAATCTCCTTCTTTGCAAAGACCAAGTTGGTCAGCCATGACATTCCAGCACCCATCTTTTACTGTAAAGCTCGAGGTCCTCTGCGGTATGCCGTGTGTTCCGTCGTTGGTAGATGTATTGTTTCGCGTTCTACCTCGCGCCCAAGTGGTTTCGACGCAGTTTTGACGGGACCGGGCTCTCGCGGGACACCAGGAAGGAATGCCAAGAAACAAAACAAGAATATGAAAAAGCCGAAATAAACCGGGAGAAAAGACCTGTATTATATGTCGCGTGTATATCGCAAAGGCCGTGGCAAAATGGGCTCGGATGAAATGTGTATGTGGAATGGAAGTTATTATTTACAAACTGTCCCCTATTCCGGAGTCTCCAACGCCCATCTGCAGCTATCTTGGCAGGCGTTTGTTAGAAGGGCGATTGTCCTTCCGAACCGCGGCCTCTGGTTGGTCCACGCGCTAGACAAAAACTTAAGGCTAATCTCACGCAGCCTCACATCACTTGACCTATTTCCGCTGCCTGCTGATGAGAGCCTCTATTACTCGATTACAGTCGAAAGAAATAGACGTGGTGTATTGAAAACTCCTTATAAAACGCAAAAACATCAAGAGAATTAAAGGTTAAACCATATCGTGATATCGGCTTGCTGAATGTTTTGTTCAAACATGGCTCTACGCATCAGTTACACAGGCAAGGCACGGAGATGCCGTCCAGATTATTTTGTCACCCTGCATAGCCTTATTAGGTAATGACTCTCGAGACGCTTCCAACGATTCATCAGCCGCGCTTTCTGCCTGAGGAACGAACTTCACCCGCGCCACACGCCGCACCAGCCACAAACCCACCATTCTCCTCTCCTCTAGGGCTTTACGCCCTCGGATGCGGGTCGTAAAATCTACTATCACTCTCAACATCACGAAAATCGTCATCATCACCAGACTCGATACGCAAGGTCAATACGATGCCGGTATGCAGCCCCCTTCCCCCAGGTTTTTATCAGAGAGCCGTTGCTCCTGAAGAAGCGAATTTCGATTTTGACGCCAGCCGCTGTTTGGGTCGTCCTCCCTGCGGTCCAAACCAGTTTCGCTGGCGTCCAAGGAGAAAAACGCAAAAGATGGGTTCGGTTCTGGAGAGAGACACAAAGTCGCTGACGAACAAATGATTCTCTAGAGCCACAAGACATTCCGAACCAAGCAGAAGCTGGCCAAGGCCCAGAAGCAGAACCGCCCGGTTCCGCAATGGATTCGCCTTCGCACTGGCAACACAATCCGGTGCGTGCAAATTTCCCCCAGAATCGAAAAACACCTCCCCTCGAAATTATCCATACGATTTTCGATCGCCCTCAGCTTTCTTTCCCGCTCAAGCCCCTCGCTCTCCTTTCCTACACATGATCCGATGATTTTTTTTCAGACCCAAAACTTCACATGCCACAAAGTACTGACTGATTGTGTTCCGTATAGCTACAACGCCAAGAGAAGGCACTGGAGAAAGACTCGCCTGGGCATCTAAGCGATTTCGCCCAATCACCTGGCATTCCCGACCCTCTTGCACCGACGGTACCGACGTCTGGTTTCTTTGGCATGGTTTCGCGGTGAAATAGTGGCGGATGGCGTAAAAGAAAAAGATTTTTCATCGTCTTTACGGCGTGTGGGGGAGGGAGGATGCAGACGCAATGGAATGAGCACGGTTGCCTGGTTTCTCGATTCTTGATATTGCTTCATGTCACGGTCGGTCATAGGGAAAGGAATGAACCTATTTTGATGTCCATTTTGCTTTTTAACCCGAGGATCAGTTTCCTTTTTCTTTCTAAACATTGTGCTCATGCCACGATTCCGACTCGCTACGTGAGTGAAAGAGAAAGCTAATTCTCTTCTGTGCCATCAGAGCTCCAACCTCGACTTTTTTTCCCAGGAATGGTATTTGGATGTTGGAAAGTGAACAAAGTGAGAACTGATGTGTCCGACTTCTCCGACGCGCAGCCTACATGGGAGGTAATTACAAGGGGTCGTGAAATCAATGCTGGTGTCAAGCCCAACTCGTTTCTTCAAGTGTCACCCAGCCCATTTCGTCAATGACAAGTAAGGTATAAATAAAAGTCACCTAGAATTCAACTCAACGTGGTGTCTGTAGCGTGTCTTTAATCGTAACGAATAAGCTTCCCCAGCTCATGTAATAAGTGCTCGATGTTAGTCAATCTACAGCCGAGCCCCGCGAATATGCCCCTAAAACGAGATACCAGTTGAATAAAAGCAAACGGAAAAAAAGGAACCCGATAGCCCTGTCATTTCAGTCCCATCAACGCCGCAGGTTACTCTATGAAACAGCCCTGGAAACAACCAGGTTCACGCTGCTGCTCTCCACTGAAAAAGAGGAAGAGGTAAGAGACACCCGTAATAGACCATTATTCTTCATCTTCTTATCGGTCCTCGGCCCATTCGTTCTCACGACGAATCTGTTCCTCCTCTTCGGCTGAGAAATCGTTCGTGATGTTGAAAGTCTTGCGGATCTCTTCGGGGGACTTGCCCTTGATCATGTTCGCCACGGTCTTGCAGCCAACATCCAAAAGCGGCTTAATGTCAAGGAAATTCGAAGCCTGGATTCACTGTCAGTTGGGAGCCAAATGTTGACCGTAAAGAAGACGCGACGTACCAAGATGATCTCGAAAAGCATTTCCTGGTCAACCTGCATAAACTTCTGGTCCCACTCCTCGATGTCAGTGGTCTTCTTGCGGGCATCCGACTCATCATCGGGAGCAGCGACGGGATCATTGCGGTGGTGCTCGCACCACTCAACAACCTTTCGAAGCACTGCCTCGTTCACCTGCCGCGTCTCTGTCAATGACATTCCAGGGCGATCCAATGTGCAAGGGTTAAAACTTACGTTGGGAATGGGGATGGGGTTCTCGGGGCTGACGTCTGCACCGCCCAAATCCTCCAACATGTTCTTCAAGAGCATGGATCGCTCGACGACGGCACGGTCTAGCACCAAGAGTCAATCACAGAGGAACGTGGGAAACAGATGGGATGACTAGAATGAGGCGAAGCATACCAACTTCCATGGTCGCGTTGTCATTGGAGACCAACCAGATCTTCTGGGACGCAGGCTTTGCTTCCGCCATTGTGATGATGGAACGATGATGTTGTGGTTAAGTAGAGGGTCGTCGGCGCGGCGGAACGATAATAGAGATGGACGCTGAAAGCTGACACGGGGGAGCGGTAAGCTTGTAGCTGAGGGTTGTTGATGTGGATGTTTTGGGAGAGCGGCAGGAAAGCAGGGAGAAGAGAGGTTGATATACGCAGCGCTGAATCCTGACTCCTAGGCGGGCGAATCCGAGTGGCAGGCAATCGCTTCTAAAGTTCTGCGGGGTTCTGCTGGCAAAAAAGGGTACGTACCGATTGCTGCGTGTTGGCTGATGAAAGAGCGTGCCACCAAAGCTTCAATCGGGCAGGGCTTTGGGTGTGGTTGGCGTCGAAGAGGTAGAAGGGCAGTCTAAGTTTCCGATAGTGTCAATGCGGGAAAAAAAAGTGAAAGCATAAAAGGAATGCCCATGTATAGTTCAGAGTTGGATTTTATTCTGCATCTTTGTACGGAAGTCTATAGGCCTATATCATGATTTATTTTTAGAAGGCTTCTTTCTTTGGGGTACTTCAATGGTATTCACTGGTGCCTGCTGGTAGTGTTCTGGACACCTACAGGCGACAGGCAACTGTAGTACACAAAGGTAGGTATGTACCAGGCAGCACTCGCGAATTCTTTCATCTCTGGAAGCTAACATTTCCAGGGGACCACCTGAACTGTAGCCTGCCTTACAGGTACCTTAGTACAGTAGTAAGGTTTCTTTTGATTCTCCGCAGTGCAAAGCTACCTAGTAGTAGTACCTACCTACCTTACTCTTTGTCCATGGCGAATGCAACAATTTCAAGACTGATGTGTAATCATTGAATGCCTCCAGACGCCCAATATAGAAGAACAGTTCACAGCATCACCTTACATTGATTATTCCATTATGCTCAGACCACTTTGAGAGCCAAAGGAAGACAAGTCTTTTTTCATCCGCTTTGAACGATCCCCTTTATCAGCAGCCCTTTGTAATGTATTTTTACAAGGAAAATGTCCGTGTCACGGTTTACTATCCCCACCAGGGTCACCTACGAACCCTAACCTACTAACCTACTGGACATCATGAAGGTTGTTAGGTTAGTAGGTAGTGGGCACAAGCCTCACGCTGGTAGAGTATGAGCAACTCCCGGCGTGACTAAGTTTTCATCCACCGGCGCTAAAGAAGACTGCAAAGAACCAAGTGCCGTGCGTCTGTTGTCTTTCCACGTGATTATGATGATGATGATGAGCATGAAAGAGAGAAAAAAGAGAGAGAAAAGAGAGAGGGGGGGGGGGGGGGGAGAGACAGAAAGAGAGACAGAGACAGGGATAGAGATTGTTCTTTCACGCTGCGCTTTGACGCTTTGACGGCCATTAATACCGCTGAAACGCTTTAGGTAGCCCGTCGCCTTTGTTCAGCCGTGATTACGAAAGCAGCATTGCCAGCTGAGGGAAGGAAAAATGAGGTCATGCCCCTTATTCTCATGTCAAGGCACACGCACCCTTCAGGTCTCAGCCAGCAGGTCATCAGCCTCGTCTGACCACCTGTTCCATTTTAGCAGCATTTCTCAACAGCCCTTCCGGCGCGTCTTAGACTCTCCCACGCGTTGGCACAGTTGCTTCACTTCTTGGTCCTTCTTTCGACAACCTACGCCCCTCCTTTTTCCTCTCTCTCCTTCGCTGTTTATAGAGCTCGCAGCATAGTTTTTGTTCTTGTCGCCTTGCCTTTGGAGCCTCGTCTGCAGCCTCCCTTCTTGACCCTTATCACGCCTAGAAGATTCTAATCAACTTTCCGCTATTGTTATGGTACTACCACACCGCTCGTAATTCTCAGCTATCGACGATTTCTTTGTTCTTCTTTCTTCTCAGCCAGCCTGCCAGCAAGCGCGCACCACAGCTTTCCCGATTTGCTCATGTCTTTTCTATCGCCATCGGCCTTTTCTTTCGCTCATGCTTGCTCCACCAACACCTTCTTCTAAGCAGTCAGCCAGAATAAGATGTGGCGGCGCACTTATCTTCTCCTAGTTCTCATCAGACTCTATTTTGCTCTGTCCCCCAGTTACCTCCATCCTGATGAGAACTTTCAAGGGCCGGAAGTGATTGCTGGTACGTATCCGGGCGTCATGTAATATTTGAGCACCCTTTCAAGGAAGCCTCGGGTTTTGTGGCCCATGCAGCCAGCTAGATGATATCCAGAGGGATTTTATTACGGGCTTCTGATTTACTGAAAACTGAGCTTGCGTGTAACTGTTCTCAGTGGCTAATCCAACATCTGCTGTATACAGGCCAGATCTTTAGTTACCCTGTCCGGCATACATGGGAATTCACTAGCGAAACCCCGATTCGGAGTGTCTTTCCGCTATGGCCTGTCTATGGCCTGCCCATGCTCTTGCTCCGCTGGCTTTGGGTTGGTAACGGCCAGGATGGCGATGTTCCCCCTATTGCCGTCTTCTGGACGTTGAGGTGTCTCATGTTTCTGTTGAGCTTTGTGCTGGAAGATTGGGCTCTTCACGAGCAAATCACCTCAACTCGCCATCGCCGCATTGCTGGTCTTCTCGTGGCGTCGTCCTATGTAACCTGGACTTTCCAAACCCATACATTCTCCAACTCGATTGAGACCCTAGCGGTCTTGTGGAGCTTGGTATTGATACAACGCATCCTGGATCCTCATGTAAGCTTCGCGGCTGTCTGCCCCTCGATCTCATGCTAATCCATCATTGGCAACAGTCATCCATCTTGTCCTCGGTGGTCCTGGGCATGGTTGTTGTGTTTGGCATCTTCAACCGCGTTACTTTCCCAGCTTTTCTAATACTACCTGGACTGAGGTTGATACCTCATTTTCTGAAGAAGTGCGTCCTGATCCTATGCATATTGATTTCGTTTAGACGACAAGTATTGACCTATCTAGTCCTTTTTCGTTGGCGGCCCTGGTTTTGGCTGCCCTTTCTACTGCTTTAACTGCCATTGCTATCGACACTGCTTTTTACACTCCAGGTCCTATTAGTTGGTCCGATCTCATCGCCAACCCGGTCATCACTCCTCTAAACAACCTGGTATATAATTCGAATCCTGAAAACCTGGCCCTTCATGGCTTACACCCCTGGTACCAACATCTCCTCGGAAACTTACCGCAGCTCATTGGGCCTGCAGCTGCGTTACTGTTCTTGCAACCTCATAAATCCCTGAGGTTGTGGTCAGCTGTTTCCGGAATCGTCGTCCTATCTTTCATTAAACACCAAGAAGCGCGGTTCCTTCTTCCGGCTGTACCACTCATTTTATCATCTGTGCGGCTACCGAAAAATCGAACTCTTCTTCGAACTTGGGCTGCGATTTGGGTGATTTTCAATATCTTCTTTGGTGTGCTTATGGGGACATATCATCAGGGTGGTATTGTCCCTGGGCAAGTATTCATGAGCAAACAACCTGACGCCACGAACGCCATATGGTGGAAAACCTATCCTCCCCCGATCTGGCTTCTAAACGGCAAGAATGAAGTTTTGACCACCAAGGATGTCATGGGAATCAAGGGCGAGGTTTTGTTGGAACAGTTGGCCCAGTTGGCTACTTGCGATACTCCTGCGGACCGGCGCAATACCGAGTATTTGAAGGAGAAGAACGGGACTTACTTAATCGCGCCGGCATCAGCCACCTGGTTAGACCCGTATCTTCCCAACAAGGGGCTAGAAGGATTGCGATTCCGAGAGGTGTGGCGTTACAGGAACCATCTTAACTTGGATGATTTAGATTTTGGAGATGACGGAGTCTGGAATACTCTGTCCAGAGTTATTGGTCGTCGGGGGCTTGTTGCCTGGCGAGTTACTAAAAGCTGTGGGTTATAGAGCCAGCATCCCCGGCATAATTTTTTTTTTTTAAAAGAAGATAATATGAATGAAATAAAAAGCATTAGAAGTCATGTATGAGCTTTGAGTGTGCTAGGCTTGCTATGAATGTTGTCCATGTAGAATCACAACGCAACATTAATTCACACTCACGATTACGATCAAGATTTTACAGTCATTGGGAGATTCCAATAGTAAAAAAAAAAAAAAAAAAAAAAAAAAGGGCACTATTATTGTTCGAGGCTTAAACTATGTTATCCCACACGGCGTGCATAATTATTATTACTTGACGCTTCAAACAGAGCCCAAAAGTGCCACGACCAGTTTAGTAGAGGCGCTTGGGAGGAGACATGGAAGCCTTGATGGTAAGGCTTCCAACGTTCTGCCAGCCCTTCTTCAAGAGAGAGACCAGGTAGTTGATGGCCAGCATGATGTTGCCAACAAGCTGCTCCTGCTCCATGCCGACGTTGCCGACGGCGACACCCATGCAAAGAACCTTCTTGAGCTGGAACTTGATGGTGGACTTGACCTCGTTGATCTTGCCAGTCAGGTCATCAGCGTGGGAGACGGGAGTAGGGAACTTTCCGGCTGTAGGCAAAGAGCGTTAGTCTCGGCGATGACACACGTGGTCTAATCAATTGTAGTCGCTTACCCTTGGAGAGACCAGGACCCAGGAGACGGGGAATCTGCTTGATGAGAGCTTCGGAAGCAATGAAGGCATCGTACTTGCGAGCAAGCTTCTTGATGAGCTTCTTGTTCTTGTTCAGCTTCTTCAAGTCATCAGCCGACATGGCGTCAACACCACCGTGCTTGGCACGATCGAGATCGTGCTGGTCACCGAGGATGCTACAGAAATTTCGAGTCAGTACTCCAGCTTCGATTTCTGATCGTCGTCGGGAGTGTCGGGGTCATACCAGATGGCCATGTTGGGGCGGGGGATGGAAGGCAGGCGGATGGTGCCAGAGAAACGCTTGTCACGCTGGGGGTCATAGTTCTTGAGGCCGATCTGGAGCTCGACAGTCTCGAGGAAGTTGCGCTTCTTGGTCTCGTTGGAGTACTCAAGGAGCTCTCCGACTTGAGTCCGGACGTTGGCTGTGCGGGCGGTCAGCACGATGCAAAGATTGTCATCGGGTTGTAGTGAATCATCTATTCCATCGATGGCGATAGATGAGCGACTCTGCAAGCTAAAGACATACCGACTGAAATCTTAGACATCTTGGCAGTCTCCCAATAGAATCAATAGTATCTAATGGTAAATCAGGACGTGGGGTTGTTGTTGAGGTTTCGCAAATCGACAAGTATGGGGGGCCTGGACGATTTTTATCTAACTCTGTGGAGCGGGATTTTGCTGTGGGGCTGGTGCGAAAGGGCAAATTTTTCTCACGTGCTCAGCCACGTGCAGCCTCAAAACTATCTGTTGACTGAGGATGAAACTTAAACGATGTGCCATGATTAAGAAAGGCCGAGGACAAAAAAGCTAAATCCATGTATTAGAGTGGAATACTTTGGTGTCGAGAGCAGCGGCATCTTTTTCCACAAAGTTTGCGTTCATTCGGTGTGACTCAGTGGAACAAAACTTTCGCCCATCATGCCGAGTCGACTCATCCCAGAGCATGTTGATCTGCTCGGTAACCCGACTCCGGTGATGAAGTGGCTTGGGGAGCAAGATGTGGGAAGCCAACAGAGGTGCGAGTTCACCAAACTGTCTCTGCTGCATGTAGCTTGCTAAGTTGTATGTAGTTATGCCTCAAACATCTTCGACACGATCCTGGGAGAAGCTGCCCAGCCTAGATCGGTCTCGGGCAATGCCTGTGTGAGGCTTTGTGGCTTTGTAGAACGAGTTTCCAAGTCTGAGTCGGAGCCGCTTCAGCTGTGGGCGTTTTCCCAGGATGTAGCTTTGCGGCTTTACGACTTCTACATTGATTGGAATGAGTTTGATCATCATCGATCCATGAGGCTTGTCCTAGACCTGATAGCACAGCTTCTCCGGAGAAATCCTGACAAGAAAGCGGCACTAGTCATACGGGATTTGCTCTTGGACAATCTGGTCTCGATTGTAATCGGCCGCTCGACCAAGCCTGTAGCTAAATCGGCCCTAAAAACTCTGGATTACTTTCTTGCCAAGGGAGTTTTCAACCTGGATGACGTCAAAGCCACTCATCTCTCCTATCATCAGGAGCTATCTCAGGCTGCTGATATCGAGATATGGAGCGTCTTCACAGCGGAGTTGCTGCAATGGACGAGGCTGCACTTTATCTGTCCGGCGGCTGGAAAGTTCATAGTGAGCTTGTGTCGTGCCCTGAGGCAAAGAGGTCACGAAGACTCTACAGGCTTGAGCATAGACACATGGCATCGTTGGCTGCTCGAGTTTCTGGCACAAGAGCCAAGCCTTTTGGAAAACTTCAAAAATTACATATTCCTTCCGCTCTTCAAGGTCGACAGGCCAGAAGGTCTGAGGCTTTTACAAAAAGTGAACCAACATGAGTCCAGCTCATCAGCTACGCTCGCCAATGATGAGTTTGACGCAAGTGCGCTTCTCACTCTGGCAGCCTTAGAAACTGGAAAGAAAGTTGGTCTCGTTGAGGAACCCTGTAAAGAAGCATCCCCTTCGCCATACTACGGATCGACACTGACACAAATTAGATCTTGGCAGCGATCAGTCAAACGAAGACAATACATCCATTACACTCCGAGAAAATGCTCTCGAGAGCGTGTTAACACATCCCTCTCACGAGGTCCGCACATCAGCTCTTAGTCTTCTTATAAGCTCACCATCAACGACACGGCCATACTCTGCTACTACTCTGGACTTGCTTAAGAGACATTTGGCCACTTATTTTGCTGATCCCGATGCCAAATTTCGAGTAGACGTCTGTGCCCGTGTCAGGGACATGTTCAAGAGAGTGCGAGGAGCAATCTCAATATTGAAGAAAAGTATACCGCGAGCAAAGGCAAAAGCTCGAAAAAATGCCTCCAAGGAGATGACATCTACTGCTGGCCAACAAGCGCTGTACCGCACCAATATAATTTCATGGCCAGAATCTGAGCTGGTGTACTGCCTGGGGTACCATGAAAAATTCTTACACTGGTATCTAGGATTCTTACGTGACGAACTGTCCCCTACGACTTCTTACCAACGACATATTACATCCCTTAAGAGCTTGATATCTATACTCCGCATGGAAGGGGATAGTCCGAAGACTTGGGAGACGCCAGAAGATCAGCAGCTGTTTTTCGACTATTTTGATGGAAAGTGGCTTCGAGCACTCGCTGATCTAGTAATGGATCCATTTGATGACGTTCGGGATACCGCCTCACTTGCACTGGCCCAGCTATTTGCTGATAACAGATATGGAAAATTCACCCTTTACTCTACGAAGGCGAACCAAAGGCCTTCGGGACAACTTGAAGAATTATTACATCGAGCTGAAAAGGTGTCAATTCGTACTGCCAGAGCCGATCATTCTGATGGCGTTGCTAGAGCCTCGCAACTGCTCTACAAATTCTTGGACACGGAAGATGAACGGCTGAGTCTTCTTTCAAAACTTGTTGATACACTGGATCACAAGATATCGAGAGCTGAAGCAGACTTAGGGCAGGCCGTTCTAGAACAGCCGCTGCACAGTACCTTTGCATCGCTGTGCTTCACTTGGCAGGCCGTTTCTGAAAAGAAGCTGTCAAAATCCGAGGCGGAGTCTGCTTCTGCGCTGCAGGACAGGATGATTGATTGCTGTGAACGAGTGTGGAAAGCTGTTCGCGATGTCCTTTGCGACGACTCTCCTGAGGGGCATCTGCCTGAAGAGATGGAAGATACTGAAGGTCTTGATACAAAGGGTCTCTTGAGTTACAGCTTTCGTGCCATTCACGAATCAAGGTTAGTTGCTTTCGATAAGGCCCATTGCGCATCCCTTGGCTAACTGCAGTTAAGCAATTTAATGAGGACGATTGCGTCGAGTATGAGAAACCGCTCCCGCGAGGGGCTTATTACTCCATCTCGAAAAGCGTTTGAGACCATTGGAAATCTGGCATTCGAACAGCTAGCCAACTTGAGGCATCGTGGTGCATTCACAACAGTCGCTGCAACATTTGCGACTTGCTGTCAGCTGACCAAACATTTAGATCCTGTTGAGGGCGAGGTATCTCTGCTCAACATATGGTACAAGGTTAGTATCTCAACTGTCTACTACTTCTCTCCATGAGATAGTCATGTTAACGTCTGGTTTGTTAAAGGGCACTTTGAACGAAATCTTCACTCAAAGATCCACAACTCGAAGATCTGCCGGAATCCCCTCGATGATGACGGGTATTCTCTCTACAAATGCAGCTGACCCATCGTTCGAGGATGCGATGGCAAGGCTCATAGAAATAGCGAGTATTGAGGCCCGCGTGGTAGAAACAGATGGATCAAATCTACCTCAAGTCCACGCTTACAACTGTCTCAAAGACATCTTCAAAAACTCGCTACTGACATCTATGGGGAATAAATCCGAGAAATATCTTCCCCAGTGCCTCGAACTGGCGGCTAGTGGGCTCAGGTCAGAGGTTTGGGCGATTCGTAACTGCGGCTTGATCTTCCTTCGCAGCTTGATCGATAGCCTCTTTGGGTCACAGGAGAGCAAGGCGATGATTGAAGCTGGCTGGGATGGGAAGGCCAACAGGATTCCATACCACCGATATCCTAACCTTCCGACAGTGTTGGAAAGTCTTCTTAAATCTGGTCACAAGATGGTGACTTCAGCAAATGCCACATCGTCTGCCGAGTCGGTTTTCCCGGCCTTGGACATTATCCGTCGAGCAGGACCCCCTAATCTCCTCCGAGACGAAATTCAGGTTCATGTCGCTGCATATTTATTGAGCCCTGTATGGCATGTGCGAGAAATCGCAGCCAGGACACTCTGCTCCTGCTTGCTGCACGACAAATGGCTTGGCGTTGTTCAGGATTTAATTCACAAGTCGTTGAATGACAAGACCGTCAACAGAAAAAATCATGTACACGGGGTTCTCCTATCTCTCAAGTTTCTTGTTGAGAGGTTTAGCGAAGTAGCACCAGATCGCCTTATAGGTATGCAAACCTCGAAAGGTTTCCCAGAACGAGCTTTTGATTTAACTAACCAATCTATAGCTGATTTGCCTGAGTTGACGGCATTCCTCGAGTCAAGCCACATTGATAGCATATATGTTGACTGCCCAGACATCATAGCTGCGTATCTGGAAGTTATCAACATGATATGGATGTCCCAAATCTCCAAATCTCAGCCCTTGCAGCCACCCAAAGTCTTGGTACCCACAGCCAACGGCTCTGCGTTGCTCAAAGCTCAAAGTATCATAAGCAGAATACTTTCCCTGTCTCAAACCAAAGAGCCCGTCGGACAGGTTAAAGATTTATTGCGTGAGAGCCGTGTCGGTGCCGACACGATGGTGGCTGCTCTGGAGTCGATACAGAAACTGTGGCATTCGGCCTCAACCCCTGACCACATCAGAATCGCCTTGTGCGACCTGTATATTGACGTTTGCCTCAGAACTTGCTTCATGGAGCCCCAGGTAGTGGCCATTGAAAACCTGGTAGAGTTGATAAACCAACTCATTACTGAGGACAAGCTCGGCTCCCTACCTATAGCCTCTCTGATGGACATGTGGACGATGCTACCCCAGCGCCCACTGAACCCATCTCTGTCTAACGCCATTGTGAGAGCCAGCGGCTGCATAGTGGCCGCTATGAACCATACCAAACGCCTTTCCACGCCGGCTCTTCGGAGTTGGGGCGAAATGGTAGCTGATGCAGGATCAGATGACAAGGTCAGTCCCAAACCTACTTCTTCCTTTTCCATCGACCTTGAAGATTGGATAAAGATGCTAACCTATCGACAGAGTTTCGACACTCGCTTTGCAGCAGCTCAATCTCTTTGCTCATTCTTCAGCGTAATAGGATCGTCCTGCACCAGTGAAGAATACCTCCCTGTCATCATAGCCCTCTACGATGCCCTAAACGACGATGACGATGAAGTGCGCGAGGCCGGATCCGCCGCGGCGAGAAGCATTCTCGGCCAGAATCTAGCTCCCCTCGAAGCCTCCGGTCGTCTTCTTCAATGGCTTGCCCAGCACTTTGGCAGCAGCGCTGAGTTTAAAGCCATCGTTGCTAGTCGCATCACCGGCCATCGAGCCTCTGTAGCAATTGACCAGCCGTGGGGCTCGCCTGCAGCACAACTTGATGCAGCTCTCAAATCTGACGACTCTCTGTTCGCAGTAGAAGAGCAGAATCTCTTCATAGACGAGGTTCGCGAGGCTAATCGCTGGGCTGCCGTCTTCCAGAACCTAGCATGGGATGAGAAGAGCCCAGGAGACGCCAAGATACTTGGCAAGCTGGACGAGTGGATTTGCGATGGCCTGGCGCAGATGCAGCAACTGATAAAGCAGGAGGACGGTCCTCTTGGCTGGGCGTCGAATCCTCACGTCTTTGCCATTGGCACAAACATTCTCCGGGGCGCTGTGACATTGAAGAGAGGCCACGGCACTGAAAAGCTGCGCCAGGCTGTTGATGATATCAAAGAGCTGTTGAGGTTGCCGGAGCATGATCGGGTTTCAAAATTGCTTGTAGAGCCATTAGAAGAGAACTAGAGAGGGGGAAATAGACCATAGAATAAGAATTTAACAAGTTGTATAATGAAATTACATAAAGTCAAGAAAAAACTGTCTCATGTAAAGCAAATATAGCCCTTTTATCCGAGTTTCCATGAATTCCCATCCTAACCATGATTCGCTGTAAATGTATAAGCCAAAACACTCTAACACCTCCCCAGCCAAAAGAGAGAAAAAATAAAGAAAAAGAACAAATGGAAGCTTCGATATGTTGTTACAATCACAAGAAGAAGAAGAAACACCCAGTACCATGCAAGATCCATCATCTCAATAAGAAAAAATCCACCCAAGCCCCCGTAACATAGTCCCCGTTTTGTCCTGCGCATAGCTCATGTCGACTTGGTGCTCTCCACCCCTGAGCCCTTGGAAGACGCGGAGGCGGCTCTATCAAACCCCCCTAGCCGTCCCAGCTTCGCCGTCAACATGGTGTTCTGCGACTGGAGCTGGCCGACCTGCGTCTGAAGGATCTCGACCCGCTTCAGCGCCACGTCTCTCTCCGCCCGGGTCTTCTCCAGCTCCATCGTCAGGTTCATCTTCTCTTCTCGCTCCGCGGCTTTCCGCCTGCGAGCCTCGGCCTTGCGCTCCTCGTGCACGCGCTTGTCTTCTAGCTTTTGCAATTCTTTCCTGTATTTTGCTTCTTGCTTGGCGATCTCCTTCTCGTGCTTCTCACGCATTTTAGCCACCACTGCCTCGTCTTTGTCCTTGCCGCCGCGTCGCTTGCTCTCCAGGCGTTGCTGCATATGAGCCGTCTTTTCATCAAGCTTTCGCCGCTTCTCTTCGAGTTTCTTAAGCTCTTTTTCTAGCAGCTGCTTTCCTTGCGTTTTGGACTCGTCCGAATTGCTCCCCGCGATACTTCGAGCCCGGTTCTCTTCAGTCATGGATCTTTCGAGGGCGGACCTAAATGTGCGTATGGATGATGTCTCGCTAAGCTCGGACAAGTCGGCATCTGTCTCGTGCTCCTCGGCAGCCCTGGATTCCAGATCTTCTAGGCTGGTGTTGCTCTCCTCAGGGGTCCCCAGCTGCCGCAGTCCACTAGCAACGACAGAAGACGCAGCCTCAAAGACGCCGCTTATGATGCCGTATATACCGTTACTACTGGGTATACTCTGCACTGATTCTCTCCTTGCTGCTTCAATCTCTGCATCTCTCTTCTTGAAATCGCCGCTGGGGTGAGGCTTGTGCATGGGGAGCACCCGTGGGCTGCCGGGTTCGCGCGGTGTCTCCGCCTCGCCATGTTTACCAGGACTTCCCGGCTTTACAAGGCTTTCGACGCTCTTTGAGTCGAGAAGTGAGAGGGCCGTTATCCACTTGACAAACTTGCCAGCATCTCCAACAATGCCCGGCGGCGTGCCCTTTTCCACCATGAAGCGTGGCACGCTGCCGCCCGGATCGCTTCGTGTTATCATTATCCATTCAACGGCCATGGACTGGCGGTGGTCGTGTGAATCCGAGCTAGAGCTCCGAACTTCTTCAGAGCCCTGGTCTGTCGACACCAGTGATGTTTTAGACGCAAGGGGATCGTTCTCGACGGGCACCTCCCGAATCATCTCGACTGATTCGTACGACCCGCGGATTATCCCCGACCGGGGAGGACACTCGTCGTGAAGGCACGGTTTTGATACGATGACGTGCTGCCGCAGCGGTCGCTCTTGGTCTGCTGGCTTGTACTCAAAGTCGGTTGTAAGGAGAAGTGTGATGAAGTCTCTCGGGGCGGTAGGGCCAGGGAACTGTGCCGATAATTGGAACACTTTAGTTGGAGAAATGCGTGTTAGTCCACATACACCCCAAACCGTTCAACCACGGGCGAATGTACTCACCACTCAAGTGTCCCGAACCCTCAACTTGCTGACTCTCAACATGTCTATCTGCACCAACACCTCGAATGTTCCCGCTGCCCGGCGAGCCTTGTACTTTGAGCGTCTCCGGAAACTCCTTCTCGAGGCCCGTCTTCCAGTCATCATACGTCAAGCCATGGTGAAGGCTTCGCCTAGCGAACCACGCCCCCTTGCCATCCTTTGCAGCAAGCTTCCAGACGCTGATGTTGAGCGGATTGTCCTTTGCATTCATCTTGATCTCCTTCCACTCCTTGCGCAGCTGCTGGGCCACGGCAAGCGACGACCCGGGCTGGCGCTGCGAATATGACATCTCGGCCTGTTCGAAAACCGCCGCCGCTGATGCCGCCGCCGCTCCCGTCGCAGAGGCCGTGGTCGGAGACGGCACCGACTCGACAACCGTCTGCGCATCAACAAAGGCCTCGTTCATAAACGGCTTGAGGTCGTCGACCGGCACCTCGTCCCACTCGATCGGCCCCAGTGCCCGCAGCGGCTCGTGATGGGGCGCCATGGCGTGTGTGTTGTGATGGATGAGAAAGGCACTGGTTAGGACGAAGCACAAAGGGCAAAGAAAAAAAAGCACGGCAAAAACTACACGCAAAAGCAAATCACGGTGAGATTATGAAAGGGAGGAAGTTGGGCGGAAAGAAAAAGGTACCAAACAAACTTGGTAGATATTACAAGCAAGTCACTCGTTGCAATGATGGATTGGGTTTTCGTAGGGGCATTTCGATAAGCCTCGCCCGGACTGGCATTGAAGCCGAGGGAAGCCTGTGGAACCCACTAACCGGCGAAGCTTCCAGCGGGTGACAGCGAGCGCTCAGGCCATTCCTCCAGCGCCGTCCGGGGAGGGGCTTAGCGGTTGGCTTGGCTGTTGCGTCCCCGGCCAATTGTCTTGACGTCACCGCAGAGTCACCCCGTAGCGGCGTCTGAACATTGCCGTTTCCAGCCTGTTTGTTTTTTCAAATGCTGCCGTAATCCAGCGTCATTATTCCAGGGTAGGGGCCAGAAAGTCCATGATGAAGAGATGCAACAGCACACTCTGGATCTGCAGAGCTATTGAGTAATCTCAGGCTCATGCAATTCCGAAAAGGTCATTCATAGGCTAGTCTAGTTATTGACATTGTAATCAGATGTCAATTGCTGAGTCGCGCCGGCTATTGTTCCTCTCCCGATCAAAATCGGACTTCGCACCTCCGACTCCGCCGACTCCTGACCGGCTGCTCCGGACTCCCGATATCTCATGTTGTAGCATATGATTTCAATGATTTGCATTTCACATCAGCGAGCATAGTATGTGCAATGTATGCTTATATACCCATGCTATCTATATATAGAGAATGTCAAAAGAAACACACTGAAGAACTAGTAAAAAGAGGGAGACGAAATAACATGAAGCTAGAATCCTGCCCGAGACGTAGTAATGCCTGGTATCCTCGAAACAAACACAAAACAGCAATCAAACAACACAATCAATTCACTCAATCAAGCAATTAATCCATCAATCCAGTGAGCCACCCAGACAATCGCTTTGCTCCCAACACCCTCTATGCAATGTTCGACCACACCCGACCTGACTCTGGCTGTTATAGGTTGGACAGCCTTTTCGCCTGCAGCGCAGAGGCATGATCGCTCCGACAACTTCCACAGTAATCATCACGCCACGCCTCGAGTGCTCTCCTCCGTTCCGGCGGGATCGAACCCGCAGCCTTTTGAGACGACGCATCACTTGTCTTGTCCTTACTACCGCTCCTGCCCTTGTCGTCATGTAGCATCTCTTCGAGGTTATCGCACAGAGACCTTTCATTCTCCAGCCAGTTTTCCCACTCCGACTGCAGCATTTCCCGCTCAACGCTGTTGACGACCCTCATCGCCACAAGCAAATCGTGTCGATAGATCCCCAGCCTCTGTCGTGTTCTCCGCAGCCGTCGCGCAGTCGCCCGACTTGATGGCAGAGATAGCGAGGCCCCCGCTTCCTCCCACGGAGAATCCATACTTGTCGTGTCCAAAAGCTCCCTGAATGTGCTGAAACACGTGCTGTTCTGAGGGAACGGCGGCTCATCATTGTCGGCGCCGGAAGCTTCATGCAGATCCGCAAGGTAGATTGCCTTGCTCATCATGTGGTTCGGCGACACGCCCACTCTGCGCATGAAGCTCGCCGCTCGCCGCTCCTGCCACCAAGTCAATGACTCTGTCGACGAGAGCATCAGGTTGGTAGCTATGCTCAGTCCCAGGAGCAACAGGATAAGCCGATGTGCCGTCACAACGTCGAATACCTTCTTCAACACCGCAATGATCCACAAAATCACCGATGAGACGACACTTTCGCCAAGAGACCGCACCGTCTCGAACAGCATAGCCGTGAGCGTGCGAGGCTTGATGGCCTGCCTCTTCCTCGCGTCGGTTGGTGCTGGAGAGAAGACCACCATCTGCGTCTGGTGCCCTACCTGGCCGTATACCTGTATGGCTCTGTTGGTGCGGCTTCTCGAGCCCAGCTTGTGGACCTGATCCGTGGCAAGCTCTGCCAGCTCCTCGGCATCGCTTACTGCATCACGGAGAGCCTGGCGTTCCACTAAGCTCTTCGACAGAGGCGGCGATTTCGACCAGTCGACGCGGACGTAAAACGCCAGCTTGCACTTGGACTTGGCCACATATGTGATGACAACCTTGGTCACCAGCTTGAAAAACTGTGAATGAGGGAGGTGCCACGCAGTCCTCGTGTGCGTAACCACATACGTGACGTGATCGTTGAACACGTCGATGGTCTGGAAATCCCGTATGTCTGCCGTCCGCGACCGGCCAAAGACGTCAACGTAGTCTATCTTAAAGTGAAACTCACGCTTCATCGGCTCCTTGTCACCTGCCGCCGACCATGGGCCCTGAGCAATCTGCTTCGCGCGGTGCTCAAAGTAGAGCTTGGGGAACACAAAGCTCTTGTCTCCAAACAGGACATGGAAGCAGGCCTTTGCACTAATTTCAAAGTGCCTTTCGGACGCCATCTCCTTCATGTCATCCGGCTCGTAAATGACTTCATGTTTTGGTAGGTTCAGTTTTGGCGGCAGCTTCTGTCCAGAAACGGGAGCTATCAGGCGCGGCAAGGGGCTAGCACTCCGCTCTACCGGTCCTCCCAAAGATGTGCCGTTGTCCATCGGTGTAGCAGACGATATCTCTTCCCAGCTCTCGGCGCTTGGGCTCGGTTTCTCGTATTCGTGCTTATCAATGTTGACCAAGGCGCTAATGATTCCCAGAGTATCCAGCGGCTCTTCCGCCTGCAAATTGTCCACTAGGAGATTAAGGCGAGCATGGAGCAACTTCAGGTCGTCAAGGAACACCTTGACGGTGATCCTTGTGTATCCAGTGTCATTGAGCTCCTGGCCTAGATGCAAAAAGATGAAGTCGCAGTCTCTGCCAGAGGCAGCAGTCACCTCGGTGATGATGTCCAGGTGGATACTATAGGCTGTGACCAGACCCAGCTGCTGGCCATAGAAGTACATATTCTCTGCTGTCACGTAGATTCTGCCATCACCGGCAAGCAGTTCGCTTTCAGAACCCCGTTCCAGCGAGCTCGACCAAGCTGCTCGGAAAACAAGCACCAGTCTCTCTTCTGGTGGTGCGTTGGGGAATAAAAGCCTGAACTGCGCATGCTGGATTCTCAGCTCGGGAGGGTAGCCGGCCGGCAGAGACTCGCTGGCCTTCTTCGCCTGCACCGCTTCACCGAGCGGTGTCGAGGAGCCTTCAGACACCACGACGCCGATCGGATCGTCGTCGTCAAGCCGAGTAGCCACAGCAGGCTCTGAATTCATGTTGCCCCAAACATTGCTACCCCAGTAGTTGGCTACGACCGATGTAGGAAGTCTCTTGCCTTCCAAGACGTGGCCTCGTTCTCCAGCGATGAGCACAGCGGTGCGGCTCAAGCTCGTAATAGTTGGAGGGCGGGCCAGAGTAGGAGGGGCAAGTGTGCCTGGCCTGTTGTCCAACAGCGGAAGCGCAACTCCCGTAAACTTTGCCTGGCCTGAGGATGTAAGAGACGAAGAGTTTCCTACGAGCTGAGAGCTTTGATTCCCAGAAATCATGTTGGACAGGCCTCCAGATGAGCCAGACGTCGTCAACGTGGGCTCAGGGCTGGCACCGAACGTCGCTTTGCGGTGAAGGTCAAGCTTCTGGATGATCCTCGCTGCGTGTTCTCGACCACTCTCGCCCTCCTCTCGCGCTAGATCTCGTCCAAGCGCTGATATTGATCGGCGAGACAAGGTTCCGTTAGGATCGATACTCTGTCGTGCGGATGCGCCACCCTCTGCTCCTGGAATCGCCAGGTTGGCTGTGCGATCGGTGCTTGAGACAGTGTCATCCGATGAGCCCATTTGCGCATCGACGCCCTTGGCTGAAAACTCGGGGATGCTTGGAGGGCAAATCGAGAATGCTGGGTCGATGCCACCGGTCAGGGCACTGTTGTCTCTGTCCATGGTGGCCTCGAATGCCTTCTTTTTTGTTACTTCAAAAACCTCCAGCCAGTCCATCAGCTCTTTCTGCGTCTCAGCCTGCATCAACATGCTGCGGCTTTTGGTCTTTAGTTCGAAACAAAACCGTCGTTCCTCACCGGCGGCCGGCTTGACGTTACAAAGTAGCACACCAATTTCATCTCCTTGTAGAACTCCTTGCGGTCCAGGGGTGAGCCATCCAAACACGCCGTCTCGGCAGTAGTACCACCGCCGAACCCAGTTGTACCTGACTGGCTTGCCGCTAGACACTCGCAAGAATAACCAGCCTTGTATCTCGGTGATTGCGGCGGTCTCGTCGTTTGGACGTACGCTAACAGGTCCGCGTGAGCCCAAGAAGGCTACGGTTGAGGTGCTATAATCTTCCAGTTCGCGAGAAGGCTTGAACCCCTCAAAGGTCGCATCGCTAATGTCTTTCCTCGCGTTCTGCATCTCCCGTCTGAAGACGTTATCTGACAGTTCCATTTCCTTGGCCCAACCCCGGACACGATCCAGCTCTCGGCTCCATCGGGTGGCGCTCGCGGCTGCATCGCGGCCTCGGTTCATCTCCTTCCATATATCACAGCAGACCTTAACAAGCAGTTGATCCAGGGAGAAGCGGAGCTGTGGCGCGAGCTGGCAGTAATCCATGGCAGCTTGGATGTATGACTTTCGATTCTCGTATACGGAGAAGGCATCCTCGCGGAGAGCGGAGGGCTCCTTTGTTTTCGACTGAGATGTATAGCGGGCGAGAGTCGTGTCGTAGGCTTTCTGAGTCTGCTCTAAGCTTCTCCTTATCTCCTTAAAGTTTCGCAGTTCCCCCGTAAGAAACGAGCGAATGGGCTCGATGACGGCTGTTTCCATCCGTTTCTGAGTGTTGAGTAATTGTGTCCACAGCTCTCGCGTGCCTTCGCTGGTGCGCTTGAGAGCTAGAAGGGTGTAGTCGTTGTCGATGACGTTGTCGGGGAAAGGTGTCGTCTTGGAGAGGTAGTTGTTGATGGTATCTTCGAGAGAGAGAAGCCCGCTCATGAGCTTCGACGTCGAGGCGACATAGCCATTGAGCCACTTCTCAACGGCGTCAACCTGGTCGGCGAAGTGAGTGGCGGTTGCGCGGAAAGTTGGCGAATCGAGGACCGCTTCGTTGAGCGTCACAGGAACAGCACGATCCGCTGGTTTCGGCGCGGCTGCCGAGCTGCCAGCTGCTTCTGGCATGGTGACGATATGGTATTGTTACTTGGATTGCAACATTGAGAGCGGCGTTTGTTCGTTAAAAAAAAAAGAGGCCGCGGTTATTTGAAGCCGCTTGGAGAGGCGCAAGTCGGCTGTGTCTGCTCTGCACAAGTTAGGAGGTTGTCGTACAGTGTTGAGGCCCCCCAGTTGCATGGGTGCTATTAGTTGTGGGGGTCAGCGAAATGACCAGCTTCACCAGCAGTGGCCGTTATCGATAACACCGCGACCCTGATGACGTACCCATATCTACTAGGTACCTGGTACCCTGCGCCGGAACATTTACGTGTAACTGGACTCCGTACTCCGTATTCCGGCCTCAGCCATAGGATTCATCGTATAGCTGTGGGTGCTTTGGCAATGCTACCTGGAAGGCGGTGCATTGGGAGCGCTCTTTTATTTCCCTTCTAGGGCTTTTTGCGGGGGAAACAAAGGATCGCAGCGGTGTCGTGGCCTCCACATCTTTTGAATGTTAATTGCCTTTTATCAAAAAGGAGCGTCAAATTTCTATTCCTTGCTACTTGTCCTGCAAACTAGCTTTCTAATATTTGAAACTGGTCTGTAGGCAACCCGGAATGCCAACTTTTTAACCAAGGCCACGCGTTCACCTCTAATATTTGACGGTAAGGACACGTAAGTACGAATATTCTTCTTGTCTGAAGGCGACTCTCAGCATCTACCCCATTCAATCACGCCGGTCCCAGCTATGCAGACGACACCTAACGCAAGCCGGATTTAGTCCAAGGACGTGTAGGAGGAGCGCGCATATTTGCGTGTGTGAAATGCTTACCCTCTTTCTTTTGATGATGAAACTCAAGTGGCCGTCATGGCTGCGCGAAGCGGGCTTGGTCGCGACGTCTGGTGGGCCTGATAAGAGGGCAGTTGACCAGCATTTCGCATCAAGCGCCTTTGAGCGAATGACAACAGCGCGGCATCTCCGGACCCGGACGGGTCGCGAGGCGCGTCGTTGTCGTCGTGCGCGGACGGGTTAACTTGAGTAGATCCCTCGTTCTCCACGAGGGAATCGGTTGGTCAATCTTTCCTTCAGGTTAGCCTCCGTTAAGGTAGAGATTCAGTTGCGAATCAAGTGCTCTTACCGTCGTAGTAGTCATCATCGTCATCCTCGAGATCTGCCAACTGTTCAAAGTTGACCTTGTAGCGCAAAATGCCGCCAATACCACCGAAACCCTTGACAAACTGGTTGCCCTCAGTGGATCGGTCAGACACAAATTCAAGGGCGGTACCAAAGTCCTTGTAGTGCTCAGCAATCCACTCGAGGAATGATTCCTGAGAAACAATATCCATCTCTTGACCAGTGGCCTTGTCCTGGAACTTCTCTCGGCCGCTCTGTTCCTGTTGCTTGGTTGTGTGCAAGATGATCTCAGCACCCTCGCTATCTTTGAGAATCCAGCGAGTGATTTCAAGGTTCTCAAAAATGATGAGAGTCTCGACAGCACCAAGCTCCAATGCCTTCAAAGTATCTTCGATACCGTAGCAGACCTTGCCAGTATCCTGGCTGATTTCCTCAAAGTACTTGCCAATCAGCTTCTTCTCCTGGATGAACTTGACGTTTCCGAGAGTCTCAGAGGACAGCTCAATGGCCTGGTTGAAACCGTTCTCACCACCGTAAGAGACATCAACAACCTTGATAACCTTGACCGCCAAACGGTTGTCGAACATGTCGGAGGCGTTAAGGTCGTTCTTGAAATCGGCGGAACCAGCAAGAATGAGGCCGGCAACGTTGACCTTGTCGGCAGTGATGAAGTTCTGCACAGCCAACTCGGCGACTTTGCGGACGTAGTTGTGGCGCTTTTCCTCACGAAGACGGGCGAAACGCAGGGCGGACTGACCACCACGTCCGTGCTTCTTGGGCAGATCGACGGAGAACTTGTGAACGATTTCACGGGTGTTTCCGCTAAGAGTACCGAACAATGCGCCGTTACCATCCATGATGATGAAACCAAACTTCTGGTCGGATTCGAGCAGCTCGGCCAAGGCCTCGGTGTGGAATTTGTTGTCGCAGAGGTACAGCGAAGTGTTGATGGGCTTGAAAGGTTCAAAGTCAATATTGACCTTGCGTTCCTTTCCTTCCGAGGTCAAAATTTCACCACAGTACACGACCAAGCCATTCGGAGGGACCTTGTTATACAGCTTAAGACGCTGCTGGGTCGACGTGATGGCGGACAAGACGGACTGTCGGTTGACACGAGACTTGATGTTGGAGGCAGTACCCTGCGGGGTTGTCAGCAAACTGCTCGTACAAAGACCAAAGTAGCTAATGAGGGTTATTCGTACGTATTCTTCAGCCAACATCTTGGCAATACGCGACACCTGATCCTTGGGAGCTGCGTCAGGGTTAGCAACAACGTTGATCGGGTGGTCGCGAGGGCGGTCTGCCGGGGGGTCGTCACGCACGGATGATGAGGGAAATCATAGAAGTTCCATTTCCGCGGGCAGCCTCGAGGCGCTTGATCAACTTCTTGATCTTCCAGATCTCGATCTATTCGCAGTCGTTAGGCATTGCTGCTGTATACTCTCGTTTCTTGATGCCAACGCGGGGCAGCAAGGCAAGGAGGGGCAAATCAGGGGCCAAAAATATTTTCAGGTATTTTTGCCTTTTTAATTTTTTTTTTGTTTTTAGAGACTTACGTTCTTCTCCGCCTCACCGGCCTGAGGGTCACTCATGTTGACGGAGGGTAAAAGAGACCCTTCTCTAGAAACAGAAAAAAAAAGAATTATCCCACCGCTAGACAAGTCCTTGATCGAGAGCGCCGGCGCGTGAGAGCGTGACACTGGCTAGTCGAAGGGAGCAGCGTTTGTTTGTTGGAGGAGAGTTGGGTTTGGGTTGTGGAATTTTACCCTACCCCAATGGCTGGCGCTACGCAGCCCCCAGAACTGCTAAACACAGCGGGTTTTGGGTCAAAAGATCCGCCACAAGCCGCCTAAAACGGGCGGGCCGTCAGTCAACTTGAAAGCCTAAGGCGGAGTCTCACGGTGTTCATCTTAGTAAGCGCTCGACGTCACAGTTTACGGTGCTCGTTGAGGCTGGTTTGTGGTCATCGCCCATCCGTTCACCGCCCGGCAAAACCCGCGAGTTGAGCCATCTCAGGACGAGGCTTGCAAGTGATTCACGGCGATATCCGCTGAGCATACCGGCACGCGCTTGAACCAGGACGCGGATTGGAGCCTAGAGGCGGCGAAGTCAGACGAGCCAGTTGCGCCTTTCTTGGAGCCTTACGCAGGGCTCTCGAATCCCTCACCATGGCGTCGTCTCTCCCCACCGAGCTCGGCAGCACCATCCAGGCCGGCCATATCAGAAGACATCCCGACCCTCGACAAGACATTGCGCCATCAACCGCCGCCGACAAGAGACAGTTGGTGGACTTCCACAGCGCGAGGCGCAGCGACATCGACAACGACGACGATGATATCCCGTACAGCGTCTTGCGCCCTCCAAAGAAACACTACAACCTCCCACCCCTTCCAGACCTGCGATTCGAGCAGAGCTATCTCCACAGCATCGCCTCTGCCGATACGTGGTGGAAAGTATTGCTCATTACAGCTAGGGATCAGGTGGCTTATGACTTCCTTGCAAAGCTCCCATGACTCATAGCTAACGGGGGAGATAGGTATTGATGCCATTGGCCCAGGGTGTACTGCTCAACTTGGCCTTGGTTGGGTGGCAGCATTGGAATAAGAACGCTAGAGTACACGGCGACTCAATAGGCATTCGCCTGAGGAGGTGGTGGTATGGAGTGAATAATTGGAAACTGCCCGCCCCTAACAAGAGACGGGCGTAAAGAAACATGGCGGTTGGTTTGAAATAAGTACAAACAATCCAGCCGTGAGTATGTATTACTATCTTGCCGGATAAGAAAAGATTCTGTCCTTTTGTCTAACTTGTAAATGAAAGCAATATCATATGGCCTCTAGTTCCCCCTTTTCCACACCCGAAAAATAAAAAACACGCCGTATTCGCGCCTCATAGTTTAGGTCGCACGCCCTCGTGAGATTTTGAGGGAGACCCTATTCTTCCTAATTTTCATTTTCCCCGTTTCTAGATCCGTTGGTTCAAACTGATAGTAGACTAATAAATGTATCGGACCGTCCACCGCTTAAATTAACCATAACTCCCAAGATGAAACATTAGTTGTTGAGCCAAACCAGCGCGCCTTATTCGTGGCTGATGATCTTCAAAGTTCCAGGCACTAGTTGCGCTGGTTGCTTTTCGGGGCTGCCTCTGAATGCCAGTGAGGTTGCTGGTGCAGCTGAGGGGATAGAGGACTGGGCTTTGACCTGTTGATCTGTGATTTCTGGGGTTTTGAGTCTCTCGGGAGTCTTCGCACTGAACACAGGCACGGCTGCCGCCGTTTCAAACGTTTGCTGGATGGGGGTAGGCGTATCTGGCGGGCCGGATGGTGCATCCTTCAGGTTCCCTTCGCTCGTAGTCGGAAGCAGGTTTGCCGCTCGCTCGCTTGGAGTGAGAACCCCTTTCAGCTTGGGTGGAGTCACCGAAAGCTTCACGACCAGCGTTTGGGGTTCCACGTCCAAGTCATCCTCATCCATTGCCTCATCCTTGAACTCGTCCTCGTCCTCCGATTCTTCCGGAATCTGGGCCTCGACGTCATCTTCATCATCCCCAAATTCAGCATCACTTTCTCCATCGTCCGTATCTGTGAGGTCGTTTGCCCCGGACGCCGCTGCCGATCTACGTGGTCGTCCAGCTGATCTCTCTGTAGCAGCCTCGACAGTGTCTCCTTGAACCTCATTTGGGAGGTCCTCCCCGGTAGTCACATTGAGCCGGGGAGGAGCTCGAACAGTGCGACCGCTGGATGTAGTAACAGGACCCGTCTCCGCTGGTGTGTTGGTTCCGGTATTGCGAGCCGAGCGCCTATTGCCAGTTGAATCCGAGAATATATCTTCGTCGTCGGAGTACGTATACTTCATGCGCTTGCCGCGAGTACGGCCTTCGTATAGTGAAAATCCAGGCTCTGGGCGCTTGAACTGTTCCTTGCGCAACTGACGATACTCTCGTCGCTTTCGTTTCTGCTTCTTTGTTAACTCTGGTTGAATGTGGACAGGCAGGGTTGGCACGGGAAAGGGTTACCTCGTCTCCCGCTTCGAAGCGCGGGATGGCCTGGAGTATCTTCTGGCTGAGCTTCCTGGCTTTGGGGCCTCCATCCTTTGTCTCGAGCTTATCTGCGAGAGCCTTGAGCTCTTCGATGCTCCCAGCGACGCTCCACCAAGTCCGATTAGTGCCAGCAGGATTGCTCTCGCGGTATACACGGAAGGCGGTATCATCTTGTCCCTCAACCAAGAAATATCGGCGCTTGTCTCCATCAGATCCCCATGGCTGAACCGCGCGCGGTTGGTTGATGTCGTCCTCGTGTCGGTTCTGTTTGTAGGATTGGTTGATTAAGCCCTTGAGGGTATCGGACGATGCCATGGCCCAAAGAACAAGAATGCGCAAAAGGTTTAACTGCGAGAGCCGTATCATCAGCTAAAGGTATGCAAAAGAGTTTTTATTTTATTTTTATTTTTTTACGCAAATCAAGAAAGCCAATAGATGATAAAGAAAGCACTCACCCTTTCAGTTGGATTCATGGAACTAAAGGTTGCGCCGCCAGCAAGGGGGTTCTTGTCCTCCCATGAAGAGGGCCATTGGTTCTTATGAGACGCAATTGCATCCTCCAAAGCTCTGCCATAATGACCTGCCCTGTAAGTTGAGAAGGAGGAGAGGAGTATTAGCCCAGGCGCTCAGAGTGTTGGACGGACGGATTGTGCCTACTTGACATCTTGCTTCCGGTTCAGGAGAAGTCCGAGGACGGCGCACAAAAAATGCTCCGCCCGATCGCCCGGTATGGGTTCGACAACGTCTCTCTCCAACTCTTGCGGTCCGAAATGTGCAAGTGATTTTGGAAATGCGTCGCTGAAGCGGCTTCGGAACATCACCAGGAACTGCAGCTGTTAGTTGGGCCCAATGACGTCTGCACGCGAAATTTCGCGTCACTAGACACTGTAAACGCGACCTGTCGCCACGCAGAAGCGACAAGCGTTGAAGGTCGAATAACGGAGCTTGTGAATGGAAGAAAACGCACTGCAATATCAGGATTGTCGGCGAGGACATATTCGTGAGGTGGCGAGGGAGACCGTTTGCGCGGTGGCGGCGAGGGCTCCTTTGGTGGCTGCTCTGTTAACTTGGGGAAGAACTTTAGGATTCCCGATTTGGCTGCGGTCGGCGCGTCGTCACTAAGGTCGTCCAGCTCGGCATCCGAGGGGATAGGCGACAAGGACGAGAGAGACGAGAGATCGGAGGAGTCGTCTTCTACGGCAGCCATGGCGCTGAAGCTGGGTTCCGGCGGTGCGAGTTGCTGCGAGTGTGAAGGAGGGAGGTGGAAGAAGCACGTCGTTTGTTCGAGAGAGATGTGGATGCACTAGCTACAGTTCTGATAGGCCACGGGCGGCTATCAAAGCGGTCGTCACCAGTCACCGAACCAAACAATGCAATGTGAATGAGGAGATTGGAAGCCGTTCTGAGCCCAATCTCTCTTCTTAGGGGTTTAACTTGTTCATCCTGTCTTTATACCCAGGCCGTATTTCGGCATAACCATTGCCCGCGCATGCCACAGCTCCCGTCTCATCAGGCCCTCACAGGACGCGGCCACGGCCAAAGTAGGCAGAGCTATGGCCAGCCCGAGACAGCCTGTCCAAATTAAACGCGAGCGCCCATAATCCAGATCCAGCACAGGTCGGGGGGCCTCAAAATCATGGCTCAGGGTTCCATCGCTTCCATCCAGCTTGAATTTACGAGTGTCTCCCCGCATCACAGCCCTGCACCACCATATGTCAGGGTACAGAGCAGGCCGCTGAATGAAGGCTTCCAGGAGCGATGCTTGGCACGCACGCTCATCAATGAGAGCAGTATTCTTCAGCGACGATGGAAGACTGGTGCCTTATGTCGAGCTCTTTCACGTGGCGAGAATTGCATGGCAGCAGGAGCATAAGAAGTTGATATATCCCAGAGTTAGCAAGAGAACTGACTTCGCGTTGGATGCACCCGGTGAAAAATGCTTAGCAACATGTTGATTCAGTGGCATTCCGCACACAATCTGGCGCGTCTCATGTCTTTGGCAGACGCTCAATCTCACGGCACGTCCACTTGGGTCTTTGCTCTTGGATGGATGAATTAAGGTACGGAGTAGGAAATGTGGGGTTCTTCAAGTCCCCTGCACGGAAGAAAGGTCGACAAAATGATAAGCGAATTCGAGAAAGGCAAAAAGGGTTGCTGTCAGTTATAAGTAAAATCGGGCAGATACCTTGTGCGCACGTCGTAAAGAGAGAGAGAGAGAGAGAACTGCGTCATATTGACTGAAAGCAGATTGTTGAGTATGTCAAAGGTGATGGAAATACACGTAGAGCAAAGCACAACACGACATGAACTCTCGCTCTCTCATAGTTCATGGAGGTTCTGCCCATGTACGGCAATTGATTGCCACTTTGCCGTCCCGGGTTTTTTTTGTCCATCGCTTTTGGGACCCTTGGAGAAGTGGAGGTACAAAGTACTTCCGGGCTGGCCAATGCGCGGCGCCGAAATGTTCAGTCACGTGGTCAGGGCTCCTCTTGTGCGGCAGAGGTCCCGCACACAAAAAATTATCAGAAAGCGCGCAAGCGAGCGCCTCTTTGTCAAAACACCAAGCGGCCGGACTCAGGTAAAGTTACCAACTTCTCGCGCTGCCGGTGGCCCAGCACTGACATCAATCCTCTTCGCAGCTACCCGTAACATCGCAGCCAGCGACGTCGAGTCACCATGGGTAGAGTTATTCGCAACCAGAGAAAAGGCCGTGGTTCCATCTTCAGTGAGTAGCTGCCATCCCGAGATACCTGGGCATTGGGTGAAAGATGCGTTCCGAGATTTCTAACAACTTGGGAAAACAGCGGCCAACACCCGCCTGAACAAGGCCCCGGCCAAGTTCCGCACCCTCGATTACGCCGAGCGCCATGGCTACGTCCGCGGAATCGTGAAGGACATCATCCACGACCCTGGTCAGTCCCCGAACGAGCACCTTGGAAACCGACGACAGATGAGATATCCATGGGCCGAATTGTAGCTAACGAAGGGCTTCTTTGTGTGTTTAGGTCGTGGTGCTCCTCTCGCCAAGGTCCAATTCCGCCACCCCTACAAGTACAAGCAGGTCACCGAGACCTTCATCGCCAACGAGGGCATGTACACCGGCCAGTTCATCTACGCCGGAAAGCGCGCTGCTTTGACCGTCGGCAACGTCCTGCCCGTCGGTGAGATGCCTGAGGGTACCGTTGTCTCCAACGTTGAGGAGAAGATTGGCGACCGTGGTACTCTCGGCCGTAACTCTGGTGGCTACATCACCATTGTCGGCCACAACCCCGACGAGGGCAAGACCCGTATCAAGCTTCCCTCTGGTGCCAAGAAGGTCGTCCACTCCCGATCTCGTGGTATGATCGGCATCGTTGCCGGTGGTGGCCGTACCGACAAGCCTCTGTTGAGTACGTGGAACCCAGAATCTTGACTTTTCTTTTTCTTTTTCGCGAGAGAAATAGCATGAAAAATCAATATCGAACGAGTGGAGATGGTCTGGATGCTAATAATTGCTACAGAGGCTTCTCGTGCCAAGCACAAGTTCGCTGTCAAGCGTAACAGCTGGCCCAAGACTCGTGGTGTTGCCATGAACCCCGTGGACCACCCTCACGGTGGTGTAAGTTTCCCCAACTCGACTCGGCAGAATCACGCAGATGCTGACCCCCATGACAGGGTAACCACCAGCACATTGGTAAGGCCTCTACCATCTCACGGTACGCCGTACAGGGACAGAAGGCCGGTCTTATTGCCGCCAGAAGGACGGGTCTGCTCCGTGGTACTCAGAAGACAAAGGAGTAAGGTGGCTAAAATTCATGGTCTCATTGGGATGGTGTTACAGTGGCTTTCTTACTATGGATGGTACTGCTCAGGAACGAAACTTGACATGGCTCCTCTGCCAAGTACTATTATGACATTTCGTTGCAAAACAAAAACAAACGACGAGCCAATTTCCTTGCAATCTCCCGACGTGAATGAGCCGGCGCATGACAGTGAGGTGGTGAAATGGTCATGTATACAAAGAATAGATATCCACGTAATTGACACTTAATCCCATGTACAGCTGAAGAGAGAGAAATTTGCATGTGAATGAATATACAGTACAGTGCTATGCTTTGATGGCATCGACTTGCCCATCAAGGTAGTCATGTAATACCTAGTAGGAATGATCAGTACCTCTCAATGTATGTAAGCAATCGGCATAATCTGATACTGAGCTATGCTCCTAGATCCTACCTAGGTGGGAATTGTATCCCCATGGAGTATCAACTATCGCCTATCGGCGAGTTTCTTTGAGGTCGGGGCATTCATCCCGCTGCCGCCATTCATTCTACGAATTTAGAAATTGGCTTGTCCAGGCGTGCGCATATCATCAAGTGACAAGATGCCTTGCAAGGGAGAGGGTATCTCAAGGCATATCTACCTTGACAGCCTATCTAGATACGGCACACCGTATGTGATATGCAAACGATGCAAGTAAAAAGTCACCCACTCCGGCACAGCAATCGGGCACAAAAAAACTGTCGCCTACTGCGGAAGAGCAGGGGAAGGGAAGAAAAAAGCCGGGGCCACATGGAAGATGCAAATCCCCCCTCCGCAGCTTACATGCTTTCTTAGGAACTTGTAGGCTCTACCAGATACTGACTGTAGAGATCAACAACGAAAGCTGGTGGAAGCAGATCGAATTTCGTCAATTGTTGACTTGATTTAGTACAAACTAGTATGATCACTATAGCTTCAATCCCAACTCAGCAATTCAAAAATGCGGCGGTTCTAATCGGTACTTTAGCATCTGGTGTGACGTGCATTGCCCAACCTGTACCCTGTCAGCTGCAGCCGCCGAAGAATGGACAGTTGAGCCTAAGAAGAAGAAAAAAACAGCACGGACAGGGGGCCAATCTCTCATCTCATCCGAAAACCCCCACCTCGCTCAAAAAACCACAATCCCGCTAAATTATTACTGCGACAAGCACCCCTCCAACCTCCAGTTTCCTTTCCACCTCCATCTTTCCTCCAGAACCTGTCGCCATTCAGTAAAAAAGCTCTAGTAAAGAAAAACCAAAAAGTCAATCGCAATGGCTGCTAACAAGGAATACGCCCTCATCTGCCTGGAGAACCCTCTCCTCGGTATGTCTGTCCATTGAAACCAAGAATGTCGTCGGCAGCAGCCGCTGTCTGTCCTCTTCTCCCCCTTCTCTCTGCTCTTCTCTCATACTTTTCGCCTCACGACTGTACGTCAAACCATTCACTAACCATGGACTTCCAATCGCGCAGACATCCAGGCCGTCGGTGACCAGGCTCTACTGGACAAGTACAGCCTCAAGGCCAACGACGCCGTCCTCGCCGAAGAGAAGCAGATCCCCATCTACGAGGACCTCCTCAACAACTTTGACGCAAAGCTCATTGCCGGCGGCGCTGCGCAAAACACCGCCCGCGGCGCCCAGTACATCCTGCCCCCCAACAGCGTCGTCTACTTTGGCGGTGTCGGCAACGACAAGTACGCCGCCATCCTCAAGGATGCCGTCAAGGCCGCCGGTCTGCGTGTCGAGTACCGCGTCGATGAGGCTCACCCTACCGGCCGATGCGGCGTTGTCATCACCGGCCACAACCGCAGTCTCTGCACCGACCTCGGTGCTGCCAACCACTACGGCCTGGACCACCTGAAGAAGCCCGAGATCTGGGCCCTGGTTGAGAATGCCGAGGTCTTCTACATTGGCGGCTACCACTTCACCGGTGAGTTACTAAAGAAGCAAGAAGACGCAGAATGGCCAATCTAGATTGCATCTAGCTATCTGTTATATCCATCTACTCATTACATCGTGACAAAGCCAAAGATGGCCAACTAACGCTCGTTGTTTCGCAGTTTCCCCTCCCGCCATCATGGAGCTCGCCAAGGAGGCCGCCGAGAAGAACAAGGTCTTTGTCGTCTCTCTCTCTGCTCCCTTCATCCCCCAGTTCTTCAAGGACGTTGTCGACGCCAGCGCCCCCTACTGGGACTACGTCATCGGCAACGAGGCCGAGGCTGCTGCTTACGCCGAGGCTCACAACCTTCCTTCCAAGGAGCCCAAGGATGTTGTCAAGGTTCTGGCCAACCTGCCCAAGGAGAACACCAAGCGAAAGCGTATTGCCATCATCACTCAGGGCACCGAGCCTACCCTGGTCGCCATCCAGGGCGAGGAGGAGGTCAAGGTCTTCCCCGTCCGCCCCATCGACCCCGCCCTCATCAAC